GATTTTGGAATTAGGTTTTAAGGCAAAACTCTAGGCGAGATTTGAAATTTTTAGGAATGAGTTATTCGGAAAGATTCTGATGAAAATTTATGGATTTAGAAATGAAGAAACTTTCCTTTCGATTTCAAAATATGTTATTGATTTTGTTTGCTTGCCAGAAAAAACGTGGTTTTAGATTTGGATTTAAGACTTTGAGGTTTGGAGTTTTTGGAAATGAGTTATCTGGAAATATCTTCATGAAAATTTGAGGATTTGAGGATTTCAAAAATAAGGAAACTTTTCTTTCGATTTTAAAAATAAATTATTGATTTTGTTGACGGATTTTTAAAGTATTTGAACTGAGGATGGCATTCCTCTTTTTTCCGGAAAAATCGTGATTTTAGAAATTGATATGAGACTTTAAAGATCAAATTTCTCATCTTTGAACAGATTGGATTGAGATTTGGTCTTAGGCAAAACTGTGAATTTTTGGTAAATTTGAAAGTTTCCGAAATGAGTTATTTGGATTTTTTTTTCGTGAAAATTTGCGAATTTTGATAATGAAGAAGTTTCCCTTTCGATTTTAAAATAGGTTATTGATTTTACTGACGAGTTTACAAATGCTTAAATTGAAAATGGCATTTCCTTTGTTTTCGGAAAATATCCTGATTTTAGTAAAGAATTTGAGGGTTTAAAGGGCATATTTCTCGCCTTTCAATAGGTTTGATTTTGGAATTAGGTTCTAAACGAAAATTCTGTTTGTGAATTTTTGGAAGACCATGTAGATCAGGTTTTAATGTTTCGAAATAAGTTATTTGGAAAAATATAATTGTGAAAATTGGCCAATTTCGAGGAAGAGACTTTTCTTTCGATTTTAAAACAGGATAGTGATTTTGTTGACGTATTCAGAAGTTCCTAAACTGAACATCGCATTTTTCCTTTGTTTGGTGCAAAAAATCGTGATTCTAGAATTCAATTTGAGGCTTTGAGATGCAAATTTCTTGCCTTTGAACAAGTTGGATTTTGGAATTAGGTTTTAAAACAAAACTAGACGAAGTTTGAAATTTTTCGGAATGAGTTATTCGGAAAGATTCTGATGAAAATTTAAGGATTTAGAAATGAAGAAACTTTCCTTTCGATTTCAAAATATGTTTTTGATTTTGTTTGCTTGCCAGAAAAAACATGGTTTTAGATTTGGATTTAAGACTTTGAGGTTTGGAGTTCTTTGAAATGAGTTATCTGGAAATATCTTCATGAAAATTTGCGGATTTCAAAAATAAGGAACCTTTTCTTTCGATTCTAAACTTAAGTTATTGATTTTGTTGACGGATTTTTAAAGTATTTGAACTGAGGATGGCATTCCCCTTTTTTCCGGAAAATCGTGATTTTAGAAATTGATATGAGACTTTGAAGAGCAAATTTCTCACCTTTGAACAGATTGGATTGAGATTTGGTCTTAAGGCACAACTGTAAATTTTTGGTAAATTTGAAAGTTTCCGAAATGAGTTATTTGGATTTTTTTCGTGAAAATTTGCGGATTTTGATAATGAAGAAGTTTCCTTTTCGATTTTAAAATGGGTTATTGAACTTACTGACGAGTTTACAATTGCTTAAATTGAAAATGCCATTTCCTTTGTTTTCGGAAAATATCCTGATTTTAGTAAGGAATTTGAGGGTTTTCTCGCCTTTCAATAGGTTTGATTTTGGAATTAGGTTCTAAAACAAAATTCTGTTTGTGAATTTTTGGAAGACCGTGTAGATCAGGTTTTAATGTTTCGAAATAAGTTATTTGGCAAAATATAATTGTGAAAATTGGCCAATTTCGACGAAAATACTTTTCTTTCGATTTTAAAATAGGATATTGATTTTGTTGGCGTATTCAGAAGTTCTTAAACTGAAAATGGCATTTTTCCTTTGTTTGGTGCAAAAAATCGTGATTCTAAAATTCAATTTGACGCTTTGAGATGCAAATTTCTCGCCTTTGAACAGGTTGGATTTTGGAATTAGGTTTGAAAGCAAAACTCTAGACGAGATTTGAAATTTTTCGGAATGAGTTATTCGGAAAGATTCTGATGAAAATTTAAGGATTTAGAAATGAAGAAACTTTCCTTTCGATTTCAAAATATGTTATTGATTTTGTTTGCTTGCCAGAAAAAACGTGGTTTTAGATTTGGATTTAAGACTTTGAGGTTTGAAGTTTTTGGAAATGAGTTATCTGGAAATATCTTCATGAAAATTTGCGGATTTCAAAAATAAGGAACCTTGTCTTTTCATTTTAAAAATAAATTATTGATTTTGTTGACGGATTTTTAAAGTATTTGAACTGAGGATGGCATTCCCCTTTTTTTCGGAAAAATCGTGACTTTAGAAATTGATATGAGACTTTGAAGAGCAAATTTCTCACCTTTGAACAGATTGGATTGAGATTTCGTCTTAAGGCAAAACTTTGAATTTTTGGTAAATTTGAAAGTTTCCGAAATGAGTTATTTGGAATTTTTTTCTTGAAAATTTGGGGATTTTGATAATGAAGAAGTTTCCTTTTCGATTTTAAAATAGGTTATTGATCTTACTGACGAATTTAGAAATGCTTAAATTGAAAATAGCAGTTCCTTTGTTTTGGGAAAAAATCCTGATTTTAGTAATGGATTTGAGGCTTTTTAGGGAGTATTTCTCGCCTTTCGATAGGTTTGATTTTGGAATTAGATTCTAAAAGAAAATTCTGTTTGTGAATTTTTGGAAGACCATGTAGATCAGGTTTTAATGTTTCGAAATAAGTTATTTGGAAAAATACAATTGTGAAAATTGACAAATTTCGACGAAGAGACTTTTCTTTCGATTTTAAAACAGGATAGTGATTTTGTTGACGTATTCAGAAGTTCCTAAACTGAAAATCGCATTTTTCCTTTGTTTGGTGCAAAAAATCGTGATTCTAAAATTCAATTTGAGGCTTTGAGATGCAAATTTCTCGCCTTTGAACAGGTTGGATTTTGGAATTAGGTTAAAGCAAAACTCTAGACGAGGTTTGAAATTTTTCGAAATGAGTTATTTGGAAATATCTTCATGAAAATTTGCGGATTTCGAAATGGAGAAACTTCCCTTCTGATTTCAAAATACGCCACTAATTTTGTTTGCTTGCCGGAAAAAAACGTGGTTTTAGAATTAGATTTAAACCTTTGAAGAGCAAATTTGTCACCATAGGCCAGGTTAGATTTTGGAATTAGGTTTTGAAGCAAAATCCTATTTGTGAATTTTTTTTTTGAAGACCATGCAGACAAGGTTTGGAAATTGTTTCGCCCACCCACCCTCTCTTAAGACTAAGGTTTTGGTAAATGTAGTACCTGCTAAGATAAAACTGGTTTTGGCAAATGAAGCTTTGAAGAGCAAATTTCTTACCTTTGAACAGATTGAATTGAGATTTGGTCTTAAAGCAAAACTCTGAATTTTTGGTAAATTTTGGTGCGGGATAAACGGAGAAATTTTGTTAATGATTTATCAAACGGACGATAAGATTTTGTAATATTTCAAAGCATTCGGTTTTGCAGGTCACACTAATTTTTTTCCAAAAATCTGGATATCTCCGACCAAAATTCAACACAGATTCATAAACTATACGTATAGGAGTACATTATTTTATAAAATTTAAAACATATTTACTATTACCCACACTATGTACAATTTTGAGGTGACGTCATTCCATTTTTGGTGGGAATGAAACAACACATTTTGTAAATCTTAAGATAAGGAAAAAAAATCTGTTAATAATAGAATAAGCTTTATTAAACAGTCATTTTGACGTATATGATATTTTCTTAATCGAAAACGATTTTCCGTTTCTGTCGTATGTCTGTTCCCAATATTATTACTTGTTAGAATGACGGTTAAAATTAGTTGTTTATGAATAATTTAAGTTTCACCAAGACATTTTCCACGAACAGGTAACATGATAAAGCCGACGTCATACTCGTCTGATAAAATAAAGGAAATGGAGCGAATTTATCCCTTAAAACCTATCACAACAAAGAATTATTTAAGGGTCAGCGGACTGTTCACACAGACGAAGATCGGTGGCCAGTCGGATGTGCAACGAAAAACGATACAGTCGAAAGGTAGGCGATGAAATAAAAATTTGTGATACGGTATGAATGAAAAGGAAACATATTTGTTAACCGCTAACCAATATTTGTCTGATCGTCCCCACCAAAAATTAGGTGACGTCATCGCAAAATTTGCTAAGTAATCCGATTTGTCTTTAACCTTACGCAAGTATAAACTGTAAAACCAGTTATTCTGAAGTACGTTTTAACTTGATGGTGAACATAATAGAATTCATTGATTAAAGTCACAAACGGTTTATGTAATTATCTCCAACTCTGGGAACACAGCAATCTTTGCATTAGCTTTCTAGCTTTCTAGACCATTTTTTTATTATATTTTTATAGAAACTGCAAATCTGCCGAATAATTTGTATTCCAGTGACATTCTGCACCTAAAGCAACTGCTTTCCTCGTCTTCGTCATTTCCAATAATTTAATTGCTTATTTGGTTTAATTATAATTTTGCACCAAAATTTAACTTTGAAATGTTTTATATTTAATTAAAATATTTATTAATAAATATAAATAATGAAGTTGTAATTATAAAACATAAAAAAAACTTCAAAGCAGTAAAACGAAATTTTGCACGCCTCCTTAAATAATTTCTGTGCAATTATACGCACATCAGAACCTTGAGAATCTTGTTTCCACCTGGAGAAAGAAGGTAAAATTAGACTCTTGATGGGTTCAAGGTCAGTTTGAGCGCACGCGTTTCTCGATGACGTCGTAACTGTCATAATTACGTCTGTTGATTTCTAGTATATTTTTTAAAGGCCAGTGCTCCACACGTTTGTTGCAAGTCACGTCAAACATTTAACATTCATATCCGTTTTTAAATAAAAATAATCCGTTGACAATGTAGCGATTTATCTTTACAACTGATCGCACTCTGCACGGTTCGGAAGAAAACAAAAAGAGTCCGTTTACCTTTAACAGGCGATTCTGCATCGGCTGTATAAACAAAATGGTTCCGTTTATTGATCAGGTTATTTAAAATGCGCAGCTCACGGCTATTCTGTCTCAAACATAAAGTACAAATCTTGTTCAGAGCCATTTTAACAAGCCCAATTCAAAAACAACACCACTGTCACCAACTCACGTTGTACTACTGTTATCTGTTTTGGTTAAAATTACGAAAACTTGTAGCCTATCGACCTTGGTGAACTCACATTATCATCGTATAGCTACCTACTTTAGCCGGCGACTAGAAAGAAGATGAAGAGATAGTGACCAGTTACGAAAGCGGAATGGATTTCGTCAAGAGTGGCGTCATCACAGTCAACCGAAGAAATGTTGTTTTCATGGTATCTGCTATCGTGAAAGTGGATAAACAATTAGCGATAAAATCCCGTTTTGCTGGACGGTTGGTCACCTAAGTCTGGGTCTACGTTCGAAAGCGAATGCCACTGGTAACGTAAACAAGATAATGATTAGATAAAGGGGATCTATTTGTGTTCGGTGTAACTTACTACCAAGAGCCACAAAGCGGAATAGCCTAATAAATTCCTTCATTCATATTGTTCGGCTCCAAAGTCAAGTACGCAATTAAGTGCAGCAATGAACTTTCCGATAAAGCACGACGCGGAACTTTGAATTGAGGCAGAAGCGTATTCGGATTATTAAAATGGTCAAATCAAGAGTATTTGTTTTGTCTCGAAGTAGTGTGCAAGGAAATTAGTGATATTTATTAGTGCAGAGTTTCTAATTCCGGAAGACTGACAACAACAGAGTAATTAACGGCTGGAAGTTTCCCAAAGCGGCGATTGAGGATAAGAGATCACTTTCGACAAGAACGGGAGCTTGTGGAAAAATTCAAGCTATTTTTTGCTGCATTGGCTGTCGAATTTTATTATTTTATTTGTATTTCCTCACTTAAAAATTTCTTCCATTTAAATGTCACACTTTACAGTCAGTCACGGTGGAAAAATTTAACATTAGTTGATATTTTGTTTTGTCAGTTGAATCTCCTCACAGCGAATATTCTCGTCTACAACAATGTCTAGTTTCTCAAGTACGTCTAGAACATCATAGTTGTCACAGATTATATGATTATTTTAAAGACTCGAGATTAATCATCTACTTTAGAGTCTCCACTCATGATTGATGACTAAAAAGCCAAATAAGTGTGGTATCTATTTCCAAACTTTCCAGTTTGTTTACTTTGTGTGTAAATTAAATATCTTTCCCCTTAAGGAACCAAGTTTTGTAATAAAAATTCAAGCAAAAGATTTTCCAAAGCCACGTGTTATCAGTTGACTTCTCTGCAAGTTACTATTTCTAGAGGGTTTAGTCTTAAGAGGTCGTTGATTCCAAACTGGTTGAAATATATCAACTATTCAGTAAGTGTGGATGTGAGACAAAATATTTTCAATTCAACACGTAATTTTTCCGGTCGTGTGAATGAATCGTGCATTGTTGATTTTTTCTTTCTTGTATTAAACAGGTTTTAGTTTGTTTCAATTGTTTCAAATGTTGAAAAAATGTATTTGAAAGCTGTAAAAAAATATAAGCATTCTGTATATTAAAGTCTGATTTCATTAAAGTGCGTACCTGTGTTTATTTTTCCGTAAAATATTTTTTGTAAACCCTTTACATTACTAAAAAAATTCAAAGAAATTGGAATAAAATAGCACCGTCGAATCAGTATTTAAAAAATAAACTATGGTTATTTAGCCTAAGAAGAGACTAATGAGAGTATTTAGAAACATATAGGATGTTCTATCTAAAACAACTAAGTTATGTACTAGGCTTCAAGAACAAAACACTCTGTATAGTCGAAAATAATTTTAAACTACACTTTTCAAAGAACGATACAAATTTGACATTTTCCCATTGACCCCCATGACAAGATATTGAAGACAGAAAGGATGAATTCTACAAGAGATGAAAAGGTAAGCTAAATATGTATTGTAATAGGGCCTATCGGGTGAAGGGCTACTTTCATGTTTTTTGAACGCTTCATGACCTCTAGAGTACGAAAAACTGCTATCAACAATTTTATGACTTCAGCTCAACACTTTCGCCAGTAAACGACATTTAAATTTTATAAAATAGTGTACTGCCGTACTTGTGGTTTATGAATCAACTTTGATTTTGCTTATAACTATCATAATTTTTATTGTTTCATTTTTCCTCTATTTTAGATACATAGTACGAACTTGGTCAAATGGGTCGGAGCAGGAAATGGCGCGCCCATTTTGCAAATAAATGTCCAGGTTCCTACTCGAGAATGGTTCCTAAAAATCTTAAAGATCCCATTAATCAGGAAGATTAAATAAACTCCAAATTGTAAATCAACTGAAGTCTAAGATTGTACATATAAGAAAGATCTAACAAAATTCTACAAATTTTAAAAATTTTGAGGGTTTTAAAGTTCCCAAAAATTCTAAAGAGCTTTAGAGAGCCTGAAAATTCAAAACTTTTGATAATTCCAAAGAGTCCAAAATGTTCAATGATTTTAAAGATTCCAGACCTAAAGACTAAAGACCTTAAAGATCCTATAAATCAGAAAGATTAAAGAAATTCCAAATTGTAAATAAGAAATATTCAACAAAATCCTAAAAATTTTCAGTGATTCCAAAAGCTACAAATATTTATTTTAACGACCTGAAAGATGCCATAAATCAGAAAGATTAGAGAAAATCCAAAATGTAAATAAACTGAAATTCTAAGATTCCACATACCAGAAAAAATCCAACAAAACCCTTAAAATTTTAAAGATCCGAAACTTCCCAAAAATTCTAGAGAGCTTTAGAGAACCTGGAAATTCTGAATTTTGATAATTCTAAAGAATCCAAAATGTTCAATGATTCTAATGACTTCAGACCTAAAAACTAAAGACCTTAAAGATCCTATAAATCAGGAAGAGTAAAGAAATTCCAAATTGATCTAACTAAATCCTACAAATTTTAAACATCCGAAAGTTTCCAAAAATTCTGAAGGGCTTTAGAGAGCCTGGGAATTCTAAACTTTTGATAATTCTAAAGCGTTGAAAATGTTCAATCATTCTAAAGACTCCAGATCTAAAGACTAAATAAAGACCTTAAAGATCCTATAAATCACGAATATTAAAGAAATTCCAAATTGTAAATAAGAAATACTTATTCAACATAATCCTAAAAATTTTGAAGATTCTGAGGTTCCTAAAGACCCTAGAAATCTAAACTTATAATAATTCTAAAGCGTCCAAAATGTGCAATGATTCTAAAGACTCCAGACATTCTAAAGACTTTAAAGATCCTGGAAATTCTAAACTTCTAATAATTCCAAAGTGTCCAAAATTTTCGGTGATTCTAAAGGCTTCAAATATTTATTCTAAAGATCTGAAAGATGCCATAAATCAGAAAGATTAGAGAAATTGCAAAATGTAAGTAAATTGAAGTTCTAAGATTCCACATACCAGGAAAAATCCAACAAAATCCTTAAAATTTTAAAGATCCGAAAGTTCCCAATAATTCTAGAGAGCTTTAGAGAGCCTGGAAATTCTGAATTTTGATAATTCTAAAAAATCCAAAATGTTCAATGATTCTAAAGACTCCAGACCTAAAGACTAAAGACCTTAAAGATCCTATAAATCAGGAAGATTAAAGAAATTCCAAATTGATCTAACTAAATTCTACAAATTTTAAAAATCCGAAAATTTCCAAAAATTCTGAAGAGCTTTAGAGAGCCTGGAAATTCAGCATTTTTGATAATTCCAAAGAGTCCAAAATGTTCAATGATTCTAAAGATTCCAGACCTAAAGAATAAAGACCTTAAAGATCGCATAAATCAGAAAGATTAAAGAAATTCCAAATTGTAAATAAGAAATATTCAACACAATCCTAAAAATTTTGAAGATCTTGAGGATCCTAAAGACCCTAGAAATCTAAACTTATAATAATTCTAAAGCGTCCAAAATGTGCAATGATTCTAAAGACTCCAGACATTCTAAAGACATTAAAGATCCTGGAAATTCTAAACTTCTAATAATTCCAAAGTGTCCAAAATTTTCGGTGATTCTAAAGGCTTCAAATATTTATTCTAAAGACCTGAAAGATGCCATAAATCAGAAAGATTAGAGAAATTCCAAAATGTAAGTAAACTGAAGTTCTAAGATTCCACATACCAGGAAAAATCCAACAAAATCCTTAAAATTTTAAAGATCCGAAAGTTTCCAATAATTCTAGAGAGCTTTAGAGAGCCTGGATATTCTGAATTTTGATAATTCTAAAAAATCCAAAATGTTCAATGATTCTAAAGACTCCAGACCTAAAGACTAAAGACCTTAAAGATCCTATAAGTCAGGAAGAGTAAAGAAATTCCAAGTTGATCTAACTAAATCCTACAAATTTTAAACATCCGAAAGTTTCCAAAAATTCTGAAGAGCTTTAGAGAGCCCGGAAATTCAAAACTTTTGATAATTCTAAAGAGTCCAAAACGTTCAATGATTCTAAAGATTCCAGACCTAAAGAATAAAGACCTTAAAGATCGTATAAATCAGAAAGATTAAAGAAATTCCAAATTGTAAATAAGAAATATTCAACACAATCCTAAAAATTTTGAAGATCTTGAGGATCCTAAAGACCCTAGAAATCTAAACTTATAATAATTCTAAAGCGTTCAAAATGTGCAATGATTCTGAAGACTCGAGACAATCTAAAGACTTTAAAGATCACGGAAATTCTAAACTTCTAATAATTCCAAAGTGTCCAAAATTTTCAGTGATTCTAAAGGCTTCAAATATTTATTCTAAAGACCTGAAATATGCCATAAATCAGAAAGATTAGAGAAATTCCAAAATGTAAATAAACTGAAGTTCTAAGATTCCACATACCAGGAAAAATCCAACAAAATCCTTAAAATTTTAAAGATCCGAAAGTTCCCAAAAATTCTAGAGAACTTTAGAGAGTCTGGAAATTCAGAATTTTGATAATTCTAAAAGATCCAAAATGTTCAATGATTCTAAAGACTCCAGACCTAAAGACTAAAGACCTTAAAGATCCTATAAATCAGGAAGAGTAAAGAAATTCCAAATGGTAAATAAACTGAAATTGTAAGATTCTACATAATAAGAAATATTTAACAAAAGATCTAAAAACTAAAGACCTTAAAGGTCCTATAAATCAAGAAGATTAAAGAAATTCCAAATTGACTAACTAAATCCTGCAAATTTTAAAGATGTGAAAGTTTCCAAAAATTCTAAAGAGCTTTCGAGAGCCTGGAAATTCTGAACTTTCGATAATTCGAAATAGTCCAAAATGTTCAATGATTCTAAAGACTCCAGACCTGAAGACTAAAGACCTTAAAGATTCTATAATCAGGAAGATTAAAGAAATTTCAAATTATAAATCAACTGAAGTTCTAAGATTGTACATATAGGAAGGATCTAACAAAATCCTACAAATTTTAAAAATCTTGAGGGTACTAAAGTTCGCAAAAATTCTAAAGAGCTTTAGAGAGCCTGAAAAATCTAAACTTTTGAATAATTTTAAACAGTCGAAAATATCCAATGATTCTAAAGACTCCAGATATTCTAAAGACCTGAAAGATGCGATAAATTAGAAAGATTAGAGAAATTCCAAAATGTAATGTAACTGAAGTTCCAAGATTCTACATATGAGAAAGGTTCAACAAAATCCTTAAAATTTTAAAGATATTGAGGGTCCTAAAATTCCTAGAAATTCTAGAGAGCTTTAAAAATCCTGAAAATTCTACACTTCTAATAATTTCAAAGTGTCCAAAATGTTCAGTGATTCTAAAGGCTCCAGACATTCTAAAGACAAAAGGCGATCAATCAGAACGATTAGAGAAATTTCAAATTGTAGAAAAACTGGAGTTCTAGGATTCTACCTACATATATGAAAGATGCAATAAAATCCTAAAAATTAAAGATCCTGAGGGTCCTAAAGATTCTAGAAATTCTAGAAAGCCTTAAATTCTAAACTTCTAATAATTTTAAAGTGTCCAAAATGTCCAATAATTCTAACGATTCTAAAGACCTTAAATCAGTTATAAAAATTAGAGAAATTACAGATTATAAATAAATTGAACTTATAAGAAAGATCCTAAAAATTTTAAAGATTTGTATTTAAAAAAAATGGTCTTAAGTTATGACATTTTCTATAAAATATAAGAATAAGCGATGTGCCGTTCGCCTGTGTTAATAATATAATAATTTTATTATTATAAAAAATTTACAGTATCGACCGCATATTACGAACCTGAGGTCCTTTTTGCAATATCTTTTTAAATAAGCGAGAAAAGTGAGAAAAATTTGTCGTAATTTGTAAAAATGTTTTGTTTGAAACAGTTAAAAGTTTGACCCACCGAAAAATAGTTCGCTAGATAATTTTTCGTAGATCACGAATCTAAAATATTTTTTACGAAAAATCCCCAAAACCGTTCCCAATGGCTTTGACTGAAAGGAAAACATTAAGTTTCTAGTTATATAGAGTATTAATCGCAAATTTATCATATGAAACCCTAGTCCCGCCCACCCACCCTCTATTTTCTTAAAAAGTATGTCATTTGCCAAAAATTCTCTCCCCGCTCTCTCTTTCCTTGTAGGATATGTCATTTATCAAAATCAGTGCTACCGACGTGTATTTTTCCTAGGAGGTATGTCATTTGCCAAAATCAGTCTTATCTTAGCAAGTACTATATCATATATTGAAATGGCAAAATAAATTATTAAACAATAATTAAATGGTACTTGTCAAGACAATACTGATTTTGGCAGATGGCATATCCTTTAAGAAAATAGAGGGTGGGTGGGTAGGGCTAGTATTCGATAAGATAAAACTGATTTTCGCATTTTTGACATTTTCGACTATTTTTCAACTATTTCCGAAAATTAGCGAGAAAAGTGCGAAAAAGTTTTCATAATTTCCAAAAATTTTTTGTCTGAAACACTTAAAGACGATCTGACCCAACGGAAAAAGGTTGGCTTATTGATAATTTTTCGCAGATTACGATTCTAAAATATTTTGACGATTTGTCTTCAAATAAGTGAGAAATGCGAGGAAAGGACTCCAAAAATCCCCAAAATTTCCAAAAACTTTGAAACCGTTCCAAATGGCTTTATTTGAGAGGAAAACATTGAGTTTCAAGTTTTATAGAGTATTAATCGCAGATTTATCTTATGAAATACTATACCCGCCCACCCATTCAACCTCTATTTTCTTAAAGAATATAATATGTGTCATTTGCCAAAAATTGTCTTATTTTAGCAAGTACTAGCACCGCCGACCCCCCCTCTCTTTCCTTGTAGGATGTTATTTATCAAAATCAGTCTTACCTTAGCAAGTACTAGCCCCGCCCACCCGACCTGTATTTTTCCTAGGAGATATGTCATTTGCCAAAATCAGTCTTATCTTAGCAAGTACTACATTATACATATATTGAAATAGCAAAATAAATTACTCTATTAAACAATAATTAAATAGTACTTGCTAAGATAATACTTTGAGCAACACGGTACTCAAAATCATATTTTTAATTTCTTGTAAAGAAATAAGTACTTTACAGATAAGCTCTGCCCCCTTGGTTCACGGCCAATAAAAAAATCATCACAATTGAGATAGGGCGGGTGGGCGGGCTTACCTTTGCATTTTTTTTTTAATATCATGTAAACTTCTTTTCACAATATGAAACTTAAAACATGTTTAAAATTTGTATAAGAAAATATCGATTTTGTAATTAGGCTCCGCCCCATAATTGGTAAATCCATATTTGCTTGCAAAAATGTATCATGCTCAAAGTTTCTTGTTGTGAAAAGATGGTTATGTATATTAAGAAAAAAAAGGCTAAATATAAGCCCCGCCCACCCGCCCTATCTCAATTCTGATGATTTTTTTTATTCGTCTTAAGCCGAGGGGTAAAGCTTAATTGTAAAATCCCTATTTAATTAAAACTAAATTTATTAGAAAAGAAAACCAGAAGAGAAGCCCCACCCTCCCGTCTCGATCTCAATCGCGATGAATTTTTCATTCGTTGTTAGACCGAGGGGCGGAGCGTAGTTGAAAAATCGATAATTCCGTATACAATTTACCATTTTAAACATGTTTTAAGTTTCTTATTGTGAAAAGACGACTACACATTAAGAAAAAAAGGCAAAATGTACCTAATCTTCGCCCTAAAAATTGCTCATCTCGAAAGTCACCCCAAACATATTTTTGTATGTTGTTATTCATTTTCGACTTTGAAACATTTAGGTAATGTTTTTCTCAATATACTTTTAATTTCTTCCATTATTTGTAATCGTGATTTGGATATTTTATTTATTTTATTTCTATTTCTCTCTAGCTTCTTGACTCTTCTTCGCTACTTATTATTATACTTTTCTTTTTATTACCTACCCTTATTTTATATAAATTTTCGTACCAATAACTTACATTAGTTAGAATTGCTTTCCATTATTTCCACGTCCTTGCATTTTATTCTTAATTTTTTGTATATTTTTAATTTATTTTTTCGTTAGAACAGCTGAAGTTAAGCATGTACTCAGAATATTTTTTTCTATTGGTAATCTGATGTGCGTTAATAACCTTACCTGTACTTTGACAATCCAGAGATATTTTAATTTTATAATTTTTCGGAAAAGTTGTATTTGTTCGTCTGTTCATTAGGGGCGAGGAAAGTTCCGTCTGAGACCTTTTTTTTAAACCTCAACAGGTTTTAATATTTCAATTAAAATGCTTAATTATACTAATAAAAGTCATTTAAGTGTATTTATTACTAGAATAAACTCTTATAATTCGTTGCAATTAAAATTACACCTGACGAAAAAATGTAGTTACAGGAGTAATAACATATAATAAAACGACTTTCATTTTGTATTTACTTTATTAAAAAAATATACAAAAATGTGCACTTATTTATTCCTGAAATTAGATCTGTGTAATATTTAATAAGTTAAATGAGATATGACTGATATGGGTAACTGCATCCTCTAGCTACAATAATCTTGTTTATTGTAGGTCCTATTGATTTTCGCCCGGCTTGGATTCCTGCGTTCGCAGCTTCAGCACCTCTAGCTATAAAACAGAAAAACCTGAAAACAGAATTGACTCGCCCCCCTAATTATTTACCTCCTGCAATAATGCCTTTTCTTTTATCGCCGCTCGCTGCAATAAAACTTTAACTTTGTTCAACAACTGCGTCTTCTGTTCCAATTGTTCCCTAACTTGCGCCAGTTCATCCGATAAAACGGCTACACTATCACTAACAGGTTTGTTTTGGCCGGTTTTCAGCGTTTTAACCTCTTCTTCCAGCTTGCCAACCTTTTGGACGCTCTCGCAGTATTGCTCCTTTAGTCTCTGATGGTCCCTCTTTAATTTATCTTCGGAACCCTATAAAAACCGCCGGAGTAGAGTGCGATCCGGCACACTTTTGTTTACAGTATTACGAGCAGCGAACTTTCAGGAAGGAGCTTTTAAGCTTCCACCAAAGCGAATAAAACCTGGCAACGGTCAATGTTGTAACTGAATTAAAATAATAATAAAAAATCGATTTACACCGTTTCGGATTTCGAACGCTTTGGGGAAAAAGCTCCGATTCATTACCGTGCGATCGGAATAAAAACGTTTTCCGGTCAATAACCTCTTATTTTCCGCTTGTAGCTTTTCCACCACTCGCTTCAGCACGAAAATCGTCCTTTCCAACTCGCTGATTTTTTTCGCGTCCGTTTTTGGGTTCGCGCCCACGTCGGGATTTGCGGTTTCCACGTTTTCCTTCTTTAATACCTCGATGTAGCTGGAAATAAAACGCGATGATTGCGGAAGCGGCGCGGTAGATAATTACTTCTCTAAATGCTGGATTTGTTCGCGCAAATGAGGAAGTTCTTTTGTGGATTTCTCGAGGTCTAATTTCAGCTCCAGATTTTCCGCTTCTAGGCACAGGTTGCTCTTCTGTAGGTTCGACACGGTGTTCTGGAGGCGGTCCAGCTCGGCGCGGACCTCCACGCTCCCCTGGAAAACGATTTCAGGCGGAATTGATCAATCAAGTGATATTTCTAATTTATTAAATGAGGTGCAGTTAGAGTGTGTGCTCATTAAAGTGTTTATGCTCTACAAATTTTATTAAATGGAGCTTGCAATCGCGGATTGTCCACGAAACCCACAAACAGGTATTGTGCATTAAGAGGCACAGGTTATTAAGTCAATTGAATGGTTTCGTCATTGCGGTGTAAGTGTTTTGAAATAATTCATACGATTTCATAATTGTTTCATATCTTGTTAACAAGAAATCGGTCACTTGGCCAGTGAATTTAACTCGACAAATTGATCTGTAAATTAAAATATTGCTGCAATAGATGAGTGAGTCCAGTTTGATGATTTCTGAGTGTCATGTGTGCTTACTTTATATTTTGAGGTGATTCCATTAAAATAGGACGGTAACACTCAGTGAGTGCATCTGAACACATAACTCATTATGTTATTTCACAAGGTTATATGGATTTTCTAATTATTTCATCTGTCGCTTTTTAGATTATTTTGAAGCTTTTGAGAATATTTAATCGTAAAAATTGGTCTAAAGAGTTTAGACAGTACTTCCCTCGCTGTCGGAAACTTGACGACTGCATGCCTATTGTGTTTTTTTTCTCATTACATTTTTGTAGTGGGAATTTAAAAAAAAATTGTGATGACGTCATCAACATTTTTGCAAGGACACGTATATCAGTTGGGATAGATGTAGTGTAATACTAAGAATAAAATTATTGTATTCCCAAATTTTCGGGAAAATGAATTGGGTCGTTTTGAATATTGATTTCTTATAATCAATAAAATAACGAAACAGTTTACTCACGTATACGGCGATAGTGTGTAATATCTAGAGAGCGGATTTCTGTCAGGCTATGCAAGGCCAAACGCGGTACGGCTCGTACGGGATGCGAATTTATTGCGGTTGCGGACTGCACTTCGTTTATTTGAGATTAGAATAACGCTGTTTCGTTGCACTCTGCTGTTAATTCCCGTTCTCATTTACTTAGCCGTTTGATTAATAAATCGTTAATTATATTTATGGAATTAGTACTGATTAAATTCAGTGATTATCTATCACCCGCTACTGAGTCCCGGCGATCCAGCGCGTCACCACCTATAATTGTGACGTAGCCCGACAAAAATCCGCTGTCTAGTAATATGAAAGGCAACTGAAAATCGTTTATGTATAAACATTCTTAATTTAAGATGACAAGCATAACAGCATACGTGAGAGTCAAACAGAGAAACTGTAAACAAAACGACCATCGGTTTTATTGCCTCGACTTCCGCTTATTATATAAAACATTGGGTTTTATTTTAATTCTTGACGGTGAAATTCACAATTGGTTGATTATAAACATGTCTATTTCACATTCGCGGAACCAAGTGAGCGCATAAAACAAATGCAGGTCTGTAATGTTAAAGTCGATGTAAATAAGCGTACTACCCTTATGTTTCAACCGAGTTTTTCCTTTAACAAATTTTGTGTCTACCAAATTGGGTTGGTTGGGGTGTAATACTAATAATAAGTGTTGCCTTTAATTTAATCAATAAAATAAATTGACTTCATTAATTTTTTTGAACCACCTCTTAAGAAAATCTAAAAAATATGAACGGAATGATAAATCACAAGTACAAACTCATCATATTTTTTGCATTTTAGATAGGATTTATTCAGCAAAATTTAAGGGTGACGTCATCAATTTTTTTAGGAGGGATGAACAAATACATTTTGAACAAAAGTTTACCATGCTTATAATAACTTTAAAATATACCTAAGATTTCAAAGCATTCGGTTTTGTAATTCCTGATTAAATCGATAAAATAAATTCACGCCTTCATTAATTTTTTTGAGTCACCCTGCATATGCAAATCCAAAAATATGAATGGAATGATAAATCACAAGTACAGACTCATCATATTTTGTACATTTTAGATACGATTTATTCGGCAAACTTTTGAGCTGACGTCATCAGTTTTTTGTAGAAGATAACCAAATATATTTTGACTAAAAATTTATTATGCTCTTTATAATCTTAAAACATCTGCAAGATTTCAAAGCATTCGGTTTTGTAGTTCCTGATTAAATCAATAAAATAAATTTACGCATTCATTAATTTTTTTGACTCACCCTGTATATGCAAATCGAAAAAATTTGAATGGAATGATAAATCACAAGAAGAGACTCACCATATTTTGTACATTTTAGATAGGATTTATTCAGCAAAATTTTGTGGTGACGTCATAAATTTTTTAGGGGGGACGACCAAATACATTTTGATCAAAAATTTACCATGCTTATGATAATTTTAAAATATCTTCAAGATTTCGAGGCACACGGTTTTGTAGTTCCTGAGTAAATCAGTAAAATAAATTTACGCTTTCATTTATTTTCTTGAATCACCCTGTATATGCAAATCCAAAAAATATGAATCGAGTGATAGATCACAAGTACAGACTGATCATATTTTGTACATTTTAGATATTATTTATTCGGCAAATTTTCGAGCTGACGTCATCAAGTTTTTGGAGGGGATAAGCAAATATATTTTGACTAAACATCTATTATGCTCTTTATAACCTTAAAACATCTGCAAGATGTCACAGCATTCCGTTCTGTAGTTCCTGATTAAATCAATAAAATATATTTACGCATTCATTAATTTTTTTGAGTCACTCTGTATATGCAAATCCAAAAAATATGGATGGAGTGATAAATGACAAGTACAGACTCATCATATTTTGTACATTTTAGATATGATTTATTCGGCAAACTTTCGAGCTGACGTCATCAAGTTTTTGGAGGGGATAAGCAAATATATTTTGACTAAACATTTATTATGCTCTTTATGACCTTAAAACATCTGCAAGATTTCAGAGCATTCGGTTTTGTAGTTCCTGATTAAATCAATAAAATATATTTACGCATTCATTAATTTTTTTGAGTCACCCTGTATATGCAAATCCAAAAAATATGAATGGAGTGATAAATTACAAGTACAGACTCATCATATTTTGTACATTTTAGATATGATTTATTCGGCAAACTTTCGAGCTGACGTCATCAAGTTTTTGGAGGGGATAAGCAAATATATTTTGACTAAACATTTATTATGCTCTTTATGACCTTAAAACATCTGCAAGATTTCAGAGCATTCGGTTTTGTAGTTCCTGATTAAATCAATAAAATATATTTACGCATTCATTAATTTTTTTGAGTCACCCTGTATATGCAAATCCAAAAAATATGAATGGAGTGATAAATTACAAGTGCAGACTCATCATATTTTGTACATTTTAGATATGATTTATTCGGCAAACTTTCGAGCTGACGTCATCAAGTTTTTGGAGGGGATAAGCAAATATATTTTGACTAAACATTTAGTATGCTCTTTATGACCTTAAAACATATGCAAGATTTCAGAGCATTCGGTTTTGTAGTTTCTGAGTAAATCAGTAAAATAAATTTACGCATTCATTAATTTTTTTGAGTCACCCTGTATATGCAAATCCAAAAAATATGAATGCAGTGATAGATCACAAGTACAGACTCATCATATTTTGTACATTTTAGATATGATTTATTCCACAAACTTTTGAGCTGACGTCATCAAGTTTTTGGAGGGGATAAGCAAATATTTTTTGACTAAAGATTTATGATGCTCTTTATAGCCTTAAAACATCTGCAACATTTCAAAGCATTATGGTTAGCAGATTAAAAATTAAATTTCAAAATGTTTTATAATTTTGATTTTTTTTCCAAAAATCTGGACGTTTCGGGTGAAAAGTCGATTCAGAGTTGTAAACTACATGTGTAGGACTATGTTATTTTATTCAATTGAAAACCCATTTACTATGTACAATTTTGAAGTGACGTCATCGCATTAGTGGTGGGGATGATTAGACAAATTTTGGGTAGCGTTTTACCATCTACATGATATTCTTAATATAAGTACAAAATTTCACAACAATCGGTTGAGTACTTTCGGAGATTATCTGTCTAATAAAAATCCGGGACGGCAGACGGACAGACGGACAGACGGACGGACAGACGGACGGACAGACGGACAGACGGACAGACGGACAGACAGACGGAAATGGGAGACCTATTTCTTCGTCTTCTAGGGGTCATGAAAGATCGAGAAAACGTAAAAGTAGAGAGTCGGCCGACGGACTCGATTACAATACTTCCTTTGCTTACGCTCGGGAAGTAAAAATTGATCAAGATTATATGAAATACACAGACAGACGTAATATAATGAAATCGTAAAAAAATCATTTGTAAATAAGTGTTGGCAAACTTTACATATATCGTGTAGATGGTTAAACGTCAACCAAAATTTGTTCAATAGTCCCCATGAACAATTTGATTATTCAACCTCAAAATTTTGTATGACAAATGCTATTTAAGTTTTCAACTATACTTCTGTATTTGTATTTGTACTTTATGAATGCGCCTTGACTTTTTATCCTAGGCATTGTATAACAACCTGTTATGGTTTATATAAGAGGAATCGGTCGTATAATTCAGTTGGCTTGCGCTGTGCTGTTCTTTCATATCTTTTAAAAAAGACTTTAGTCCCTATTTTTTCAAACTCTTTCAAAAACAGAACAAAAGAGATCTTTAAGGTTCTTTCACGTATTTAAAAAGATTTTGGCAGACGACTTATTATTTTAAAAAATAAAAAAATAAAAAATCGACAAATTGAAAAATCGGAAAATTGTATTACTGTATGGAAAATCCAAAATTGAAATATCGAAAAATTGAAAAAAAACACAAATCTTATAAAATGGAATTGGGAATTCCAGTTTTCATTTTTTTTAGTTTTTAGATTTTTCAACTTTTGAATATTTGAGTTGATAATTTGTTTGACAATTTTGCGTTTTTTAATTCCAATTTTTTAATTTTTCAATTTTTAACTTTCGATTTAAAATTTTTCCTTTCCACGATTTGTCATTATTCGATTTTTTAACTAAAAGAACAA